TGGGTTAGTTGGGCCTTGTTTCTTCATAAAAAAGAAAAGGGGGGGAGAGTTGGGGAGAAGGGAGGAATTTAAATGAGAAATCAGAGTGCAATGACAGTTTGAGAAGATCACAGTAGAAGCCAAACATTTTTGCATGTTGCGTCAAAAATAAAAATCCCTACTTTTAAACAAAGAGTAGCCATCAAATAAATGCAAATATTTCAAACTACCATATTAACTAGAGAACATTTCTTTTTTTTTGTTTCATTTTACTTTTGTTTTAATTTGGGGCATAATTAATACACCCACAGTTTGTCCAAAAAAACAGAAAGAAAAAAGCAGACAGCAGCATTATGGGCTTTTTTATATTATTAAAATATAACATTATAGAGGCAAGTTTTAACAAATACAGTTAATAATTTACAGGAACACACAGACTGACATTCATGTTCACAGTATTGCAGGATCCATTGTAAAAGCTCCTTTACTTTTTTAATTTTCAGTGTGAACATTCCCCCTTTTTACCAGAGTGGATTTTCCTTCCTTCTCTGACTCCCTGCCAGTACCTGACCTGCTACACTTTCAGACATACCGTTATTCCAGCTCCCACAAAGAACTCAATCAAAAGCACATCAAATGTGTAAAAGCAACATCATAAAAGGTTAATTTAAAGAAATAAATAAAACTGATCACATGGGCTCCCTTAGAGAGCTTTATTAGCTAAAGCATGCCCTTTTTTCTCTTTTTTTGGTCAAAAGCAGATACGGAGAACGTTAATGTAAGCCTAAGTCATATTTGTGCACTACTCACATGAGCTACTTTTTGGTGGAAAGTGTTTTGGTTTGTCTTGTTAGATACTTCGTGTTATACAACACTACCTTAAATTCTTAAATCAATACATATGGCAACAAAAGTTTTCCAAGTAATATTTATAAGTGCAGGGTCACAAAACAGACTATTTTTACAACTATTACGATAATATTAACTGCTATAGACAGAATCCATCTTATGAGGTCCTAAAGTTGCTATCCATAGACCTCATATTTTGTGCACAAGTTTACCCATCTTTCTCTTGCTCTCTTCCCCACTGTGACTTACACATTTCATATGTTCCACAACAAGGCTGCAATTTTCCTTTTAGTATCTATACCCAGCATCAGACACAGATGAACATCCTGCTGACAAGTTATTTCTGGTATCGTTTCTGAAAAGCCAGAAAGCAGCTGCAGCACTACAAAGCAGCCAGACAGCAGGCACTTTTTAAGTCTAACCTCAGGCCAAGGAGTCTTCCCTACCAATACCCCATAGCCCTCAGACAGGTGCACGTGACCCAGTACACAACACACTGAGCAACTAAAAAGCTGTCCTAAAAGTGGCTTAAAAAGCAATCATGCACTTACTGTGTTATAAAGTTCTTCCAGCCTGGGAATTGTAAGAAATTTGTGCATGCTTACTCCATTTTCAATCAGAAGTTTCACAAACGCAACTCTATCCATCACAAGGGCATCTAACATAGCCTGTTCCAAAGAGCCAACCTACAACAAGCAAGTAACAAAGTAAAGCCTGCAGAGAACCAGTAAAACAGGGCATCACAGAAGAAAGCGTACTTAGATTACACATCAACCTTACTCATTTACAGGCCTGGGGAAACAATATATGTCTACAAAGATAGCACTCTTGCTTCAAAAAATCCCCTGAACTTCACACAATTACAGAATGAAAGAATATCCTGAAGACTTAATCAGCAATTCTTGTACTCTTCCAAAGGTATCTCCTACTGACACATTACAAGGGACTAAGCAGGCATTTGGTTTAACACAGTTAAGCACTTCTCATAGACTGATACTGGATAAAACACAAAGATATAAAACATTGTCCTTTAGCACAACTTGCTTCAAATGCTCAGAACCATCATTACCATCAACATGCCTTACAGTATGAATTTTGACTGCACACTCGTGTAAGATTGTGTTTTATTTTTACAGTCATAGGGGGAAAATGCAAGATCCATAATGTAGTCTGCAAATTAGTTTGAAAACTACAAGAAATAGGTATTTTGTCCTCCCCCTCAAAAGACACCGCAGTGCTGCCAACAGTGCATTTTATTAGATGTTTCTTAAGGACTTGCTATGGCCATGCAACTGTAAGGAATAAAAAGCATTTGACAACCATGAATTCAGGTTCCACCTTTTGCAGTGCTTCTTCTCTCCCAGTTTTTCAGAACGCTTAGCGCATTTCTAAAATTTTTGAACCGTTTTCAACTACACAATAACAAAATAGCTGTAGGACTATGCTGTATGCAAAAATTACTGTCCACAAATTCAACGTGTCTGTATTCTACAGTCTTGCTACAAAAGTCAAAAGATTCATTCTTTACAGTAAGTTGAATTTCTCTCTTTTAGAAAACAGCACGCTGCTTAGTCCAGACCACTACATACCAGCCATTGTTGCCCATAAACAAAAACATGATTTTTGGCTATGTCGACTCTGTCCCACGCAAGTGTAAGAACAAGCTGGTCAAATGCAGATGCATTCGTGCCTTAAGAAGCAAAAACAATTTAAAAAAATAAAATTAATTAAAACATACGATAATAAACATTCTTGCTTCCTAAAAAGGCCAAATCAAACAATCCACTACAAAGTTATATAGTATATATAACATTTATAACATGTCATGGTATTATACAATGACAAAACATAGTAGAAAATTATCTGCTTAAAACTAGAGATTCCTACAGGTTATACTATTTTAGAAATAATTAATCATATAAACACTGAATAACAATAGCTGGGGATTCCTAATGTTTTTAAAATTAAGTCTCACCTTTTAACAATGCTGTAAGGATTGCAACATCAATGTCCTGATGTTCGTCTGACCCAATATGAAAAACCGTAATCTGTCCAAAAGGGCAAAATTGGAAAAACATTTTAAAGATATTTTCAGGCAAAGATGATTCGCTCCAGTCTTTTATGTCAGGAATTGAAATACACTAAAAAGTCACCTTATCTTCAGTGCAATTTAAGCCTAGGCTCGATTTAATCTTACCTTCAGTGTGCACTCTGTTGTTTCCCCCAGTGTCACACAAGACAATCCTTTATGACAAAAGGCATAGCAGAAACCTTATATTCCTCAACCAATTTAAACTTCTTTTCCCATTATGATTACAATTGTTTATAAACAGCACACAGTATTCTCTTTATCCCTCCAGTTCATTTTAGATTATGAGATTAACCTGCCAGAAAACTTTCAGCTGAATATGACACCTTCAAACCTTAGAAGAGTACAATATGATGTCCAAATCACTACACCAGTACCTAAACTCAGGTTAAATATAAAGCTCTTTTTAAAGTGCTTTTGCTTTAAGCATGCAGTGATAGCAGACCTTTGTTAATACAGTCATAATTAAAAGACACACAAAAAAAATCAAAGCAAGAAAAAAGGACAGCAACTCAAATACAAAATACGTACACACTATAAACAAACCAGAATCCTGTCATCTGAAAACAAACAGGCTTGGAGACAACCACAAACTCAGATTACCAGAAATAATCACAAGAATTAAGTCTCTCTTGGCTATGAGATAGTTAAATACCGTTTTCATGTATACTTTATCTTTTATAACTGGATGATCCACTATGTCCAGAAAAGATTTCTGAATGACTCTTGAACACGTACAACATTGAGACATGATTTAATATTATATCCACAAATGCACACACCTTGGATAAGAAAAAAAATAAATATGGCAAGATCTACTTACAAGTTCTTTTTTTTTCATGCATTCCAACAGTGTCTGAAACAAATGAACTGCTTCACTTTGACCAAAGTTAAACGTCTTTTTGATGGTTGAAATTATTTCAGGCTCAGCACCCTCAGGAACATTCCTGAGATTGAAACAAACAAACAGGAAAACACATCGTTACACATCAGCAGTGAGAATAACAATGCATTCCATTAGTTTCAACATGCCCATTCAAAGCCCTGTTATCTATAACCTTATTACTGTTTCAGTGGCAAAATCTTGGGTAACCTCTAGAATGAAGTATAGGTTGCTTAATTTATGACTTTCTGCTACTGGCCCCTAAAAGTTAACTCAGCTTCTCTCCCTTTATTTCCCATACCCCGTTCTCAGAAACTCTCAACTAAAAGCCTTTGACGCAAACTACTAAGTACTCACTCCTCTGAATAAGACCTGTTGCTGATCTCACTACAGACAAAGCTGCTGGGTTTACTGCTACGTTAGATCCCTGCGTCCTGGTTCTGGGGCAGTTCCTGCAACAGGAACCCAACATGTTTAAGGACTTATGCAAGTCTGACAAGTAACTAAGAAATCATTAAGCGTTGTGGAGCCCAAGCACATCCATTTTATTATTTGAAACTACACTTAAAACAGAGCAGTGTTCAGTTTTAAGACCACTCAGAAGAAACAATATTTTCTAATCCTTCTGATTCCTGCTCAGAAAAGTCACTACTACGCAACAGCTAACTGCATGAAAATATTTCCATTCAATGAAGTCAAGTGATGTTTTCAAGCAGTTTGGTAACATACTACACTGTTAATTTTCACATCACTGGAAGGTCTGGTCGGCTCTAACTTCTGTTGAAAGCATTTAAGAACAATCACATTTAGCACTTCAGTTACTGTGGCTTAGTTAAAATATGAAGTTGAAGCAGACACAGCATTTAAACTGAGAGTTGCCTCTTTTAGTTACAATGGTGTAACAAAATTACCACACATAACTGAAGTTACAGAGGAGAGGTTTCCCCTAAGGTCAGATACAGCTATGTACACATTTCCTATCTTTTTTGTAAGTACTGCTAAAGTAAACATACGCTACAGAATTTGGTGCGACTGGTACAAGGTACGTGGGAGGAACACAGAACTAGAAAAGAAGTCTTGGTCTTTAGCCAAGGGTATTATTGCAGCAAACCCGGAAAGCTGCATCACAGGCAAGACGACATTCTCCACCTTCAGCCTTTGCCTTTCCACAGAAAAAGCTCTTGCACAAATTCATTAAGGAGTGGAGTCAAAACCCATCTATGTATGGCTGATAGTTTGGCTACTAGTGCTGGGACTTACCCTCCTTCCTCTGTTTGCTTGTGAACATACGCCAGTATGTCTGCAGCTCTACCAGTTCCTTCACACACCACCACCGGCACAGGAGGACTTTCTTGAAGGAAGTCTAAAACTGTGAGTATGACATTGGGACCACCTTCAAATACCAGTGCCACCACAGGCACGCCTTGACCAATTCCTATAAAGTTGCAAATAATAAAAAACAGACAACGTTGTAAACGTATAGGGAAGAAAAAGATTGACCTTACGTATTTAATAAATCAAGTGTGTCCCTTCTATTGAATAAAAATTAAAATGCTGCCTGCGAGACATTCCAACTGTTGCTAATGCATAGTTTCAAGTTTCCAGACCCCTCACCATCCTTGTGGCTCTTCTCTGAACACACTCCAGAAGGATGTTGAGATTCTGGAGCGTGTTCAGAGAAGAGCCACAAGGATGGGGAGGGCTCTGGAGAACAAGCCTGATGAGGAGCGGCTGAGGGAACTGGGCTTGTTTAGCCTGGAGAAGAGAAGGCTGAGGGGAGACCTCATCACCACCTACAACTGCCTCAAGGGAGCTTGTAGAGAGGTGGGTGCTGGGCTCTTCTCCCAGGTGATGGGGGATAGAACAAGGGGAAACGGCACCAAGCTGTGCCAAGGGAGGTTCAGGTTAGAGATGAGGAGGAAGTTCTTTACTGAGAGGGTCGTCAGAAGCTGGAACAGGCTGTCCAGGGAGGTGGTGGAGTCACCATCCCTGGATGGATTTAAAGAGCGGGTAGATGAGGTACTTAAGGATATGGTTTAGGGGGTAGACAGGAACGGTTGGACGTGATGATCTCAGAGGTCTTTTCCAACCGAGCGATTCTGTGATTCAAACAAAGTACCATTTATACTTTGGGCTGGGAGGAAGGACTGCAAAGAAGCTGATAAATATGATGGAACAGTCTACAGAACAAGAAATTCTTCACAGAAATATTCCTGAACTAATGCAGAAAAGCAAACATTTTTTCTTCAAAGAACTCTCCTTCTACCTTCCCCTCAAATAGCTTCCAAAGATGACTACACATATACAGTTTTAACGTAGTTACATGGAAACCCTCTACTGACAGGGAGTATGGCAAAAGCATCCCTAGAAGAGGAAAAAGCACACACATGTTCCTCCATAGTTGGGAAAACACCAAAACAAGCCATGGTTTCTTTGCACAAACACAGATGATTTACAAACTCAACTGCCCTATTGCAAAACCACAAGTGATCAGCACCAAATACATGAATCATTCAGACCAGTAAGGCCTGACAACATACTCAAGTGACATACATACACAATAACACAAGTGACATATGTTTGCTTTATCAAATCAAAATTGACAACTTTATTCAAAAGAACTCTCCCTCTCTGGTCCCAAAGAAATCCCAAATCTAACAGCAACATCTAGGGTCCAAAGCAGCAGTTGAAATCTGCAAAATAATCAGTCAGACTCGAAACAAAAGCAAAAGACAATTTTTTCCTATTTTCTCATTCACGTGTTTAGTGCAAGCACCTTTTTCATTAAAGCACAGTTAACACTCAGCCCTCAGGCACCAGAATCACTTACTTGCATGGATCCGTTGCAAATTAATCGTTTTTTCCAGTTCTCTCCGCAGTTTAACTTCTGCTCCATACTTTCCAACTGTTCCATCATCCACCAGGATGAAATGGGAATGAAGGTTATTTAGGACGTTTAGTTTACTTAATGGGTTTAGCAAAGTTTGATAGGGAGCAACCACCTAAGTATAAGCACACAACAATGTCTTTTACTTGCAAAGACTGAAATTTGTTTCTGTGAAACTTAACTTTTTGTCTACACACAAGAATCGATTGCTCAGCAAGAAGCAAGCAGCATAAGCATGCCTTGGGTCAGGATACACCACCAACCATAGCTCTTCACCTTGTGCAGGAAAGCAGGGAACTATCAAAAAACAAATTCCATTCTGAAGGATAACAGAGAAGAGACCCTTTGAAAAGGTGTCTGGGGAAAACCTGTGACTGCTCTGGCAAACAGTGGCATTGAAGACTCAAAATCGAAATTTTTCAACTTACCGTCCTCTGTAAATGTAAATTCTCTCTACTATTTCAGCATTTTTGTTATTTGATTCAGTAATATCAGTACAGGGGAAAAATGATTAAGAATTTGAGAACAAGCTCCTCCTCTAGCACATCTGCATTTTGCAACTTGTTTACACTAATGATCTTGTGTAAGTCACAGAAGTCAATGTAACCCCATAGTACAGCCAGTATTCCAATGATGCAAAGCAAGTGAAATAAAAGCACACTTGAGCAGATTTGTCAAAAAATAAGTCACATAAATCATTATTTCAATTAGGTAATTTATCCTTACATCTCTTCCAACAAGGTCATTTCTGTTTTCAATCACTCCCCATGGAGCAATCCCAATAGTGCAAATCTTTCGAGATGATCTGGAAGCATGTTCTCTTAGAGCATCACCAACATGTTTTGCAACACCTGTTTGTGCACAAAAAGATTCCAGTGTATTGAATGTCGCATCTTATTAGGAAATAAAGCTGTTTTATTAGTTAACTGGGCCTTTAGGGATCTGGGAACTCACAACACCAAAGAAAAAACACCATACTAAGTCTACCAGAAGGAAACAAAGCACTGTGTATCAGTAATTCAACAAAATAAACACTAGTCTAGTAAGAAGTAAGAGTTTCCAGTACATTACTGTACTTGTGTTAATCACATTAAGCTTTTCCTCTTGCAGTTTCAAAACTAAAACCTAAAAACCAAAACCCCTCCCCAAACCAAACAAAAAAAAATTTAAGCCCCAAAAACCAAGAACCTCCAACCTTTGTTCTTTTCTCTTTGCAAGACAAAAGAGCAGCATACTTCCAATGACACATGTTCAAAATGTATTATTTTAATTTTGCTTGACCAAACTCACTCAAAGCTGCTTCGCTTTAAGACGAAGCTATGCATCCATTAAATCTTTTGGCTCTCACAAATCATAATGCTGTTAACTGTGCTCATTCATTGGTGGTACCTGTGTTCACTCCTCCAGTTATAATCCAGGCTCCTGTTGTTACTGCAGCTTTAATAAGACCTTTGCCAAGCAACTGTTTGATGCACGGGTGAAGTTCGAATTTCTGCATGCCCCCATGTACAGATATAACGAGCTTCGGCAACTCCATCTGCCATTCTTTAAGCATAAGTTGCAGAATAGCTTCAGGCTTAGTGTCATATGACAGTCGCACATACTGCAGGCACAAGAATAGAGTTAAAAGGTTCTTAAAAGAAGTAATCGCAGAATCAATGAGTAAAAAGAAGAACCAGGATGTATTTCCGGATATATTATCCTGCTCCTGGCTACAGAAAATGTAATTCACGTTCTCAAAACATGGCAGATGCAATAAATGAACAAGCTTATTTTACATCCTCCAGAATTAAGGACAAGACAGTTAACAGTTTTCACAGGAAGTTTTGGAAAGGGAACAACCACAGAAAGATTATGTCATTCCATCCTACTGGCACAATGACCTAGAAAAATTAGTCTTTATGAAAGCATTCTAAGAGCTCTAAAGTAGACCAAATTCAGAAATATTTACAAAAGTTCTGCCATCTGCTGGGGAGAGGCTTGCACATCCCTTCTAAAAAGTTGTACAAAAAGACATTTGCTTGCTTATGCTCCCCTATTCCAGGTAGGAAGGAAAGCTACATTCCTTAATAGAAAACTTTAAAACTAGCAACTTTTTAACTTGCTATGTTTAAAAACGTAAGATTAAGTAGATGGTTGATCAGTTAAAAATACTGCTGCATCTTTAACGTAAGCTATTTAACAGAAAAAGGGTCATTATGCGGAAATCAGGCTCTACTTGAATCAAGTTCTAACTAAAAGAAAAAAAATCACTATTCCAATAAACTGGTTTTAGCAACCCCCCTCGCATTCTGCAGAACTAAGCACAGAAATGAGTACAGGCAGTTTGCTCTTTCTGCACGCCTAGAAATGGCTTCGCAGCAATTTTAAGCTATACTAAGTGTACAGAGGAACGCATACACTGCTATTACCGACATAAAAGAATTCTTTTAAGAGCCCTTCTCCCCGCAGAGATGATCTGACCTAGAGCACTGAACCTCCTTGGGGACTCTGCTGGCTGCAAAAAGAGCACAGCTCCCTCATTCAGGCACTTCAGTTTGGCCATAGAAGCCACACTGCATCAGAACTCCTTACAGCTTACAACTACATGAGCATTAAATCACACACAGAATCACAGAACCACAGAACGTTAGGGATTGGAAGGGACCTCCAAAGCTCATCCAGTCCAATCCCCCTGCCGGAGCAGGAACACCCAGATGAGGTTGCACAGGAAGGCGTCCAGGCGGGTTTTGAATGTCTGCAGAGAAGGAGACTCCACAACCTCTCTGGGCAGCCTGGGCCAGTGCTCTGTCACCCTCACTGAGAAGAAGTTTCTTCTCCAATTTCAGTGGAACCTCCTGTGTTCCAGCTTGTGCCCATTACCCCTTGTCCTATCATTGTTTGTCACCGAGAAGAGCCTGGCTCCATCCTCGTGACACTCACCCTTTAAATATTTAAATCGTTTTTACTACAACTAGAAATCCTGTACAAAATGGTTGCTGTGAATATGTCGGCATTTCCAGGTTTCTAGCCTCTCCAGTACACGTGCACTTGTGAATTAAAAGCTAGCTTCCAAAATTTTGATTTACTAGTACGCTTCTTTTTAACTAAACACCTCTTCCAAAGAGCTTAGTTACTCTGATCAGTATGATTATGCTTTAATAATTTTGAACAAATATACCAAAGCAGCATATTCTGCATCTGTCCATAGTTTCAAATGATCTTTCAGAGTTTGAAAATTGTGAAGAGGGTTTAGATGGCAGCTGTTACTTAACAGCTCCTATAAAAATGCAGTGGTAGTGAGCACGCAAGCAGCACAGTCGAGTAAGCCGTATTTTCATGAAGTTTGAAGCAGTGGCACTGAATTCTTAATGTTAATGTCACTGTTTTCAGCCTTCCATTCCAAAAGTCAAATGAAGCACCCATCATCTCTATCAAGATGTTTAGAATAAGAGGAAAAAAAGAAAATGCCATACATGCCTTAGCCCTGTAAGAATGAGAGCCACCTTGAAAGTTGATGACACCATATGCATCAGTAGAGGTCTGCTCTGTATGTTTTTCCACTGACCATTCTTCGATCTCCTGATTACAGTTTTCAGCCAGCTTCACATCGGAGTACTTCATAGCAAGGCTTGCAGTAAAACAAGCATGTTGTCTGACCAAGCGGCCACAACAGCACCTGCACACAATCATATCGTTTAATTGAGTAAATACTGTTCTCAGAAGACAGGAGAGAAGAACTTATTTGATCTGTAACAGAGATAGGTCAGATTTAGAAAGCAACGATTCTAAACATTACATAAACCTCTTTTCCAGAGCAAGCCTTGTTGCCATAAATATTTATAGCAAGAATTAATTACAATATGTAACTATTATGCAAAATACTGAAGCTCACTGAGATAGCAAGTTGGAGGCCAGGAGAAACTGATTCTTTGAAGCCAAATAATTTATATAACATTTATAAATCTGCAATCTACATATTGCAGACAGTTCTTTAGTTATATTTGGTTTCTATCTAACTTTTCACCAACTTGTCATTTGCAATATTGATCAAAACAGTTTAAAACCCTATTACGAAAGTGCTTATTAAATGGAAAAAACTATTCATAAATATTGTAATTGTAAAGAACTCTCACCTGACAAGTTGCTGACAAATCTGACATCCTGGAAGGCATCTGTAAGAAATATGAGTAAACTTCAGCTTCCATTTTAAGGTAGCAGGGGTGGGACAGGACGGACAAACCATTCACACCACTCCGTGTGCTTACATAAAGATTACACTGAACAAAAAAGATCTCCAATAAATGAAAAACATGCCGCCCAAATTTGTCTATTTTTAACACGGTAACTTGTCTGTCCTCATTTTACATGACAGTATAGCATGCTTGGCAAGTAAAAATGCATAAACACACAAAAGCTTCAGTCCTGAGACTTCAGACGGGTTTTCAGATTTTGAACCATCAGTATCTGAAGCCCAGGAGTATTCCAGACTGGATTATCTGCAGTACTCAAACAGAAACACCTTGCTGCATGCTGAGAAGTTCCATACAAACCAGCATTTTCTTGGACTCATTCTAACTATACGTTGTTGCATCTATTCTACAAATTCATCCTTCTAATACATATCCAAGTTCAACGGCCTGTGCGGGAAAGTTCTTTGATAATTTCTGAGCTGCATGTACAGAAAAAAGATATTTTTTAACAAACCTTATGGTGTCTTTACATAAAGTTTATTATATATAAAAAAATCCCTCACATCCACCCTCTTCCATCTTAAGCTTTTTTCATGTTTTCCTGCTAACAGCTTTCTTAACATTTAAAACTAGCACAGCAGACAAATGTTTTCCATAATTTTCATAAGCAGGTCTTAACCAATATGGAAGAGCTCATATGCAAAAGCATACAAATAAATAAATATAAGCATACATATAAATACCGATGTTATACAGTAGTCTTAAGCTGTTTTCAGACTTTGAGCATAAACAATTTTTTAATTTTGTTCTCTATAGCAGTTACACTGCTACTAATCATCTACATTTTTAATATTGAACTATAGCTTTAGATCTTCTCTAACAGTTATTAAAACTATCTATACTAAATGGTACAGATCAACAAAACGTACCGAATATGCCTGTCTACACTTGATTAATTTACGCATAATTTACAAACAACTGTAAATAATTCTTAGAAACTGAAGGACAAAATCTGATGGGAAAGTTGCGAAGTCTGCTGTGCGCTACAAACAGGTCAAACTAAAAGGGCAAGTGTTGGAGATCATTTTGTTCCGTGTGAAATGCTCTGTAAATTTTAACAGCTTCCTAATTACTTTGTTTGCATTTGCAGATTTTCCATGGGCTACAAGCAGGGCTATAAATTCTAAAAGCTTCTCATGTCACGTGGTTTCAAGGAACGTGGTGAATTATTTACAATAACTTAAAAATTCTGCAGCATCTACTTTGTTCTTTTCTTCCTGAAACCAAAATTCTTAAAAGAAAAATACTACTTTGCTCCAACAGAAGAGATTTATAACCTTTTTAATGGAAAAGACCAAAATGTAAGTTTTCTGAAGTTCAGAAAGAAAGGTTTCTCAGCTGTCCTCAAATATATGAAGCTACAAATAAAAAGCTGATGTGAAATCCATAATGACAGGAGTATACATTGTGGAGATGAAACTGCCTTAAAATAGCAATCTTGAATCTATTTTCAATTTGACTTTATTTAGTCTGTGACACAGATGTCATGACTATGCACATCAAATTCATGACTATGCACATCCGTCATGAATTCAGTCGTTGTAGGAACTCTTAAATTATACCTGTAGCATTTAGTGAAGGTAAACTCTACCAGTTAGGTATGTTAAAGGTATCACTATCTTGCTTGTTTTCACATCTCCAATTTAGCATAAGGTATAAGCAGCATGTGAGAGATGCAAAATATTTTTCACTAATCTCAGGCTCCCTTCTAGAAAGATACTTCTCCATTTTTCAGCCTCACTTTTTCCTTACAGAACTTAAGGATGAAAAATTACTAGATATCACATGAAATCTTCCGCTATCCGAACGGTTTCTATTTCATCTTCTTCCCACGAAGCAAATACTTCTTCAGCCTTCATTTTGTAATTTTTTTCTCCCATCATGATTCACATTTTTCTTTATTCTTTATGAATTTTTCATCCCTTTTCCCTGCACTGTCAGGTTTATCTTTACACTTCACCCTACACTCACACTGCTGTTCTTTAAATTCCAGTAGACGATGCCTTGATGAGACTTTCTGACTTCAGAACTATGTCAACCAGACAAAAAACCTGACCCCAAAATTACCAAATCCCCACACTGCAGACACACCAGTCACGACTAGCAAGGCCGGGAAGGAGAAGCAAAGAGAACTGGGGAACATTTATTAAAGATCTCTGCAATGTCAAAGTACTTTCAGAAAAAGAAAAGAACCCAACAAGCAAGACACAGAGTGACAATGCTCAGCCACAACAGAGTGAACTAAAGACAGTATTTCATGCAGATAGAGTAGCTAGTCAAAAAATCCACTATATACGCTCTTTGCAATGCTGACTTTTTAATGTTAAAGAGCAGCAATGACTTCTTGCATCATTTCTCATTTACCTGTGGGGGTCTTTTGAACTTGGTATAATATACACGCACTCCCTCTTGGTGAAAGTATTTTCTATCCAGGATTTCTGGGACTGAAAAGTAAAAAAATATAACAGTATTAGAAAATACAAATTACATAACTTTGGAAAGAGAAATGCTTTCTAAGGAAACAAGAATTAGAACATGAGGGTTTTTTCCATTTCAAGATGAAGGCCAGTAGTCTCTAACATAAAGAAGTTAAATTGTCATTTAATATTTTACTTGTCTCTCAAAAACTAACAATGTATGACCCCATAAAAGCATCTGACGCTGCCTGAGAGTTAAGATAACCAGAATCATGACATGATTTATTTTATATGCAAATCCCTTAAAATCCAAAGTAGCATTTTTCAAAGCTAACATTTAAATAGCAAAAATCTGCAATATGCACATAAAGATGTAACAAAAAAAACCAATTTCAAACCAGTTTACCTACCTTGCTAAGAACAAAATCAGTTAGAATTTTTAAAAGTTAACTGCACTATATTGAGATAACAGCAATTTCATCTATTTATCTCTTTAATAAGGTAAAATTTCCATGTTGAAATTGTAGGAAAGTTTTTTAACCAGTGGCAATCCTTTCTAGTAGCAATAAATGTCATAACCTTTGTTCTTCATCAAGAAATTTTTCATTTCAAAAAGCAAATTTAATCATCACCTCTAAACTGTATTTTAAGCTTAAAGTCGAAACATGTTCCGCAACATGAAATTAAGGATGTTTACTTCTTCCAATTACTACTGCAATAGCTGGATGCAATTTCATTTCAGTTGCTTTAAACAACCATGTAACGTCGTCTTACATGATAATCTCAGGATTACATGCTAAGCAACACGCATAATGCCCAATGTCTACATCATGTTTCAGCAACACACTGGGAAAGGAACTCAGACATGACTTTTAGTAATTAAAAACAAGACAAAATCTGAGGAGGCCAATTTGCACCTTAAGCAATATTGCTTTAAATCCTTATTAAAATTACATTAAAATTTCTTCATTGCTAACAGCGTGCTCTGTTCTACATCTACATTTTACCTTCAGAAAAATTTGAGAAATTTCATACCTGTTCTAGTTTACAATAAGGGGGGATGTGGAGGAAAGACCGATGTGTCTGTTGATAGGTATCTAAATAGAGGTCTGTGGAAGCTATGAAGAAATTAAGCTTTATTTTTTTTCAGATCTATTATACCAGAAGATTCAGTACAGATGGATGGGTTTTCACTCACTGAAAATTCAAGATCAGCTTAAGGTAATATAGAGAAATTATTACTAGAACGTACCAGCTAGTTTTAATATCGGTCCCTGGAAAACTGCTCCTTAACCACCCACCTTCTTCCAAAACATTTCCCGACTCAGCAGATCTTTCCCATATTATTCATCACAATTTCCTTCCAACATTTTGGTTTGAATTCTGACTATGAATCTGTCAAGACAGCAACAATCTGCTGCTGCCGTTTCTGTCTCCACATTAAGAGCACCACCAGTCTCTTCCAAGGAGGATGGAAAGTTGCAGGGTACAGGCAGTTCCCAAAAGAGAAAGAAGGGCAGGAGAAAGGTAGAGTAGCTGGACAATCCACAGGGAAGAATCACAGCAGGAGAGAGGAGTTGTAAACAACAGAATGAGCGCTCACACAATGTAAATTAAAATTAATTACATTTAAATTAATACTTTAAACACCTGAAATAAAAAGCCATTATTTGCTACTGTCCTACCTCCTTTCCCTA